TGGTGGTGGTGGTGGTGATAAATTATAAGAAAATGACTTATAAGAAGATTAATAATGATTAAGTCCTTTAAAGTTTTTAGGTCATTTTCTATAATTTTTGTAGTCAACAATGATATTTTTCCAAAACATTGGACCACAAAAATTTATATTTTGATATTTCACAAAAAGAGAGAAATGAATCTCCAAATAAATCGATAAAATTAACATATCTTGTTGAATTTGGCAACTAATTTTCTCATTATAAAATTAGAAACATATTGTAGTACTAAAAATACTAATTAAGGACAAGTGACACTATAATTCCAAACATCCGCTAATTTGATTGTTGCTTGATCAAAACAAGTTGCAGAAAATAACCTAAAAAATTTAAGGCACTTAATCAATATTATTTTTCGTAAAAGAACCCTGTCTTAATAAATATTAAATAATTTAAAAATATTTATTAAATTTTATTTTAATAAAACTTTAGCATATTTAGCGCTCTTTAAAAAAGTTTAAAAATAAATTAATACTAAAAAACGTCATGTCATCAAAAAATACAATAGAGTTAACCGATCATTAATAGAGGAAGATGTTTTGCTCTTCTAAAAAAAATTGTTTAAAAGAAAAAATGCCTTACTAACATGATCTTGTTGAATTTGCAACTAATTTTCTCAATTATAAAATTAGAAACATATTGTAGTACATAAAAATACTAATTAAGGACAAGTGACACTATAATTCCAAACATCCGCTAATTTGATTGTTGCTTGATCAAAACAATTACAGAAAATAACCTAAAAAATTTAAGGCACTTAATCAATATTAGTTTTCGTAAAAGACCATTGTCTTAATAAATATTAAATAATTTAAAAAATATTATTAAATTTTATTTTAATAAAACTTTAGCATATTTAGCGCTCTTTAAAAAAAAGTTTAAAAATAAATTAATACTAAAAAACAAGTCATGTCATCAAAAAATACAATAGAGTTAACCGATCATCATAATAGAGGAAGATGTTTTGCTCTTCTAAAAAATTGTTTAAAAGAAAAAATGCCTTACTCATTAACATAGATTGCCAGTGCTCCTCATCAAAGGAAAGTATAAGGAAAAAAAAATACATTTTAATCCTAAATTAGTTTATTTATTTGTATAGAATGAGAACTTTTCGAATTTGCATACTTAATTGACATATTGGAGGAACATCATCCTTGGAGAACGGCGATATCATATTGAATATAATCACATAATACTAATTTATTAAATATTATAATTAACAAAAGAAATGAAGTAGATTTATATTTGTCCGAGTCCGTAGTGAAAGAAACGAATGTCTATACAATAATTATGTTTGTTAGCATTTATAAGAATGTACAACGGGAGAAAATGATTGAAGAGGACATAAAGGTAATTGAAAAAAAGGAAAAGTCATGAGTGAAGGTGCTGTCTTTATTTTGTCTCTACCCCTCAGCCCCAAAACCAATGTTTGGATGATTGGTTTTCTATGATTGGTTTTCTTTGTCTCTGTGCCAAATGCCAAACAAAGGCTTCATAATTCATTCGTATTAGGATTATTATCAACTTTGCATTGTGCCCTTCATTTTATTTGAGGCTTATTAGGCTATTCATTTCACTGTGCTCGATTATTAGTGCCTGTGCTCGATTATTAGTGCCTCGCCGTTTTGACTGTTCTCTGATGATATTTAAAACAACAATATTAATAGCTGAAAGAGTCGTTGCTTGACGATGACTTGGTGGCCCCATATAGCTTGATGGGATATGGAATGTGTCCCATTTCTAAATGATATATGTCAAAAAAAAATAATAATTAAGATTCCTGTTTGATAATCTCCAAGCACCAAAAAAAAAATTATTTATGTGATTTTATTTAAACTTTGCTTAAGAAGAACCCAATATTTAGTATAAGACCAATTGTGGCTGAATATATGATCGTAGCCTCTGCATTTGGCACCGAGCGCTCATCAAGAGGTGGCCAAATCACGGCCTTTTATTTTATTTTGAAATGATCTTTATCGTTTATTTTAATTAATTTTTAAATATTTTAAATATTATATTTATTAATATAAAAATTATAAAAAAATTTTGATATTAAATCTAGATTATCTTCCATAATCATTCAAAAATGAAAACCATGGGTCGCATCATCTCTAAAGAGATATGAACCATCCGAATTTAAAATCTTTTATTTTAATTACACTTATCAAAATAAATTTTTTCAATCAATTTGTTTATTTCCAGTCTGTTTAGTAAAGATTTAATTTAAAAGGTCTAATTTGATATTAAAATTTTTATAATTTTTATAATTTAATTGTTCAAATTTACTCTAGGACAATTCAAGTATAACTTAAATGATTCAATTTAATATTACTTTTTTATAATTTTTACATATCATTTAAATGTATTCTAGACAATTTAAATTTAATATTAATTTTTTTATAATTTTATATTAATAAACATGATATTTAAAATATTTGAAAATTAATTTAAAATAAATGGTAGAGATCATTTCAAAAAAAAGTCACAAGTTGGCCACGTGTGACAAGCAATGATGAACACCAAATAAAAACGCATGTTTTTATGTGCTTAAAAAAATTATTTTACAAGATTTTGGTTTTTATCACTTTTAATTTTTAATCTACTCATTTTGGATCAAGGATACCCAACTAGTTGGTATGGAGGAAGGCATACGTTGGAAAAAAAATGTTGCATTGATGCATGACATCTTTAAAGAAAATTTGTTTTTAAAAAAAGTATTTGTACTTATAAAATTATTTTATTTATCATTATTCTATATCTATGTATTGTGACTTTTTCAATTTCCCTTTATGCCTGAAGTTGGGACAATGACTTGAACGTTACAATGATGCAAGGTTGAGTGACGCCAGTCCCCAGCCAGCTTTTAGATGGCGGTTTCGAATTTTGAAGCTACATTCAAGTTCAAAACTTTTTGTCAACTTGCTTAGTAATTTGGGCCCATACATCATTGAAGTTGGACTTTAACACTTTGAGCCTAATAAATGGCTCCTTCTGACAAGTTGGAAGCCACTTAACAAGATCAAAGAAGTTTGTTTTATAAGCATGTCTATTTATAATTAGTGCTGCTTTAATATTTCATAAACATGATTTACAATCTCCTAAGAACTTTTTCTTGAACCGGTTTCTTATTTATCTACTTCAATGTATCTTTCTCTCTCACAAAAGATGTGCTTAATTTTACAAAAAAGGAGAAAGGTGGTGAATAGATCATTATTAAATTCAAATACATTGAGAACTGAGAGAAAGGGAGAGGAAGGAGAGGAAAATAAAATTAGAGTAAATACAATTTTCTCAAAAATGTATTTCATCAAATTACTACAAGGTCTTTCACTATTTGTTTTTTTTCAAAAACTTGCTAGATAATACTCTCCTACTCAATTGTCATATTTAACCCCAACTATTCTTTAGATTCAATTAAGGGTAAAGACGTGATTTAAAGCCCTTTTGACATGGTGCTGTAAGCAAAAATTCACTATTAATCTAAAGCATATCAATTGTATGATACTTTCCTTTTGAATTAAAGAAGTATGCTCTTATGACTTGAGTTACGAGGCCCATTTACAAGGAATTTTGCATGCTACTAGGCAACAAAGCTATTGGCAATTGTATGGCAATTTGAATAACATGAAAATTTTCATTGCCTCTATAGAATTCCACATTTGAATGCATCCTTTGGACATACCTATTTAGATTCTTCTGGTTGTACATGTACAATTCCAAGAAAATCTTTATATTCCATCAAGCTTGATTCTTCTTAATCTGAGAGATCCATTACTCGTCACTCTTATGATAACAAAGCCCCTTTGTTATAGTAATGATTTAGATCATTGTATGAAAAATTGGATCGGACCTGTTAGGTCAACGCCTGAATTGGTGACCCGGCCTCTCCACTGGTTCCAGTTTTCATCTTGACCCAGTCAATGAGTAACCCGATATGACTCGACCAACCTGGGGTCAACCCGATATAAATCGAATAACCCGACAGGTTAGTTGGGTCAACTGTGTCACATATTTTGCCCTTCAAAATCCTAAAAATTCTTATTTTGCCCTTCAAAATCCCTAAAATATGACGTTTTAGGGGTTTTTTAAAAAAAGAAAAATTGAAAAAACAAAAAGGCAAATAGGCTTCGCTAGTTTTGTTTGAATTCTGAAATCAATCAATCGAACCCCACCCCACTAACTCTGAACACTCATCCTTAAGCTTAGCTCAAATTGAACCCTGCTTGTCGATCATCGATCATCATTGTTGCCCGTTCTAGCGTTATCACTCTCCTTGGCTCTTGCCTTTCTTAGTGCAAATTCTATCTCTTTCATTGTTGTAGCAAAAGTGCAGAACTCACCATGACTATGATACATAACCTGTATAGCTCTCAACTGCCCTCTCTCTCGCCATGAAGCAGAAACTCGTCAAACGTTGCCATCCTCTATCTCTTTTAGTGAATCTCCTTGTTGTCTAGTCATGAGTTTCTGATTGCCATGCCTCTTCCTTCCTTGCATTTTTAATTCAGAATAAGTAGTTTCTACGTTATTTGCTGCTATTAATTTTCTATTATTTCTTAGCATCTCTAATTGTTTTATTTATTGTTATTTTTTATTATTGTTAGGACTTTTGAGTGGTTATATTTCTATAATTATTATTGTATTGGTATCTTGTATTAGAAATTAATCTTGAATTTGGTTGAATATTTTTATAATTAGTGTCTTTTTATTTAAATTATATTATTTTAATCATGAGCGGTTTGCCATCGGTTTAACACCCAATTCAAACCCCAATTAAACCTCTAATTCGTGACTCAGTGTGTTAAGCGGGGTTCAATTACTGATTGATTTTAAGTACCTTGATTCAGACACAATTAACAATAGAAAGTTACTGAACTTTGATCACATAACTTTTTGTTATCATATGCCCACTCAAGCAGGGAAAAAAGCATCTTAACCGTGAACAAGGCTTAGTTGGAAGTTCCAGCATAATCTCAACTAGAACAGCATTAAAAAACAAACTTGAATTGATTTGTATATAATATACACAATTTGTCGTTCGTAAAATCCTAACAGATAAATCCAGTGGCTTCATGTGCCTACCTTTACAATTAAAATTGTAGTAAACAAGGGAAAGAATAAGATGACTCTGATTTCAGAAGCTGCTTCTTAAGTTCTACTGATGGAACAATTTGGCACATCCACCAACTACAACCAGGAATTTTCTTCAAACCTTTCTGTTTCATGGATACTCTCAAGTTATTGGCATCATCCCTTGAACCAGAAAGGGAAAGCAAATTAGCGGCTAAGTACATAGTTTGGCCCCATTTCAGGCTCCAATTTAGACAGAAGCCTATCATCCAAACTGGGGAACCAACCATGATTTTGGCATGCAGCAAGAAAACTCCTTTATATGACATCATTAGGCTCCATGGGGCGTGTTCTTGATGACATCATAAGCTTCTTTTATCAAGCCTGCTCTTCCTAGCAAATCAACCATGCATCCATAATGCTCAATAGATGGCTTTATGTTGTACAAACAAACCATCTCATCAAAATACTTCCTGCCTTCATAAACAAGCCCCATGTGGCTGCAGGCTGATAGAATCACAGAAAATGATAGTCGATCAGGTTGAAGTCCTATCATTTTCATCTGGGTAAACAGAGAAATAGCATCCTTGTGACGCCCATGATTTGCAAGGGCAGAGATCATGATTGTCCATGACTGCAAGTTCTTTCCATGCATTGAATTGAAAATGTGAAGGGCTTTCTCATTAGTCCGCATTTTGAGTACATCTCAAACAGAGCTGTACCCAAAGCAACATCCAGTTCAATCTGATTCCTGATAATATAGGCATGAATGGACTCCCCTGCAATGATATTGAGAAGACGGATACAAGCAGAAAGCAAACTTACCAAGGTGACTGAGTTAGGCTTCTCATTAGATAGCCTCATCTCTTGATATACATTTAATGCAACTGAAGGAGAGTTGCTGCAAACAGAGAGATATGAATGGCTCAATAAATACATTATTGTCAAGAAATTACTAAGAAGGCTCAATGGCAGAAAAGCTATTACTGGCTCTATTTGATGAATGAAATTCACATACTGTGATAACCTTTGTTAGTATGACATGAAAAATTCTTTGTTGAGAACTAGCAAAAGTTTCAACATTAATGATCAGAAGGTATGAGTCAATGTAGCAATCCAAAAATGTTACTACCATCCCCATGTCTCTCTTTCCTGACCCCCAACTTTTAACCAAAACAATGGCATTTGGGATGGTCGAAATTTCACTTTTCAAACAATTTGAAACCTATTTATAAAATGTTTGAATTTAACAAATACAAACATTTCAAAATTTATGTTATATATGTCATAAATGATATAAGAACGTTATTTCATTTTACATATCTAATAATCAATCTTTTCTTATACAAATATTTAAGTGCACGGGAAACTAAAATATCTCTGTAACAAACGGTTTTTAGTTGAATTCCTCTATATTTACTAAAACGCAAGTCATACAAGAATAAACAATAGTCTGGCAGATTGAATTGGGTGGAGTTCAAGGTATTCTCAGAGAGTTACCCTATTAGTTCTACATCACAAAAACCATAACCATGAGAGAATCAGAACTCGTGCTGCTTGACCATAAGAGGGGAAAAGCATCAACAAGATGCTGATTATACACATTAAATGAAACACAAACACCTAATTAAGAAGCCGCAAACTTATAAAGAAACTTGTCCATAGGGAAATGAGTAGAGTCAGTAGACATGAGATGTAAACAGCACAATCAAAGAAACGTGAAAAAGTGACATGCTGATTTGTAAAGAAGACTTAGAATCGTTAGAAAGGGGATCAAAATCACAGGATCTAAAAATAATTAGAAGTCATTCAGATCTCCCTGTCATTGAGATCTTTGAATAACTGAAAATAAACAAAATGGGAGAATCACATAAAGAAGATAAACAAAGAAGCCTAAGAAAATCAACCGATAATTAAACATCATCATTTAACATAACACCCCTCTCTGCCAACACGCGCCCTGAAGAAAACACAATGCAAGCAAAGAATAAAAGTTTGAGGACACAAAGATAACTTTCCAAAGTTTTTCATGGAAGGCATTGATCTCAACTCAGGCATCCAACTACTATGCTGAAGAGCATATTTTTCTTCCAATCAAGTAGGCTAACTCCAGCTGATGGAAAACAGAATAACAAAAGCCAAGACATATAATAAAGAAAAACACTATGCAAACAGCTTAAACTAAAGTTATCCGCGAGGAAAGGAAATACAGAACCCTATCAATACATTAACAGAATGTGTAAGCAAACGGACTTCAAAATTACTGAAAAAACCATACGCTCCAGACAACACGCTTATTACTCCTAGACATCTCAACACCGAGCCACATGATGACATTCTTGCCAAATATTTATTCATCCCAACAAATATACAGGTTCACAACTTACCAGGCGATATATGCAGCAATCATTGAACTCCAAGACACAACATCTCTAACAGACATTTCATCAAACGCCTGTCTTGCAAGCTCAACGCAGTCACAGTCAACGTACATCTTCAACAAGGTATTGCCTATGTACTGATCAGAATCAAAAGCCGTCTTCAAAGTCAAGCAATGCACCATCCCACCTTGTCGAACCAATGAACAGCGGGCCACAGGCTTTAGGACGAAAAGGATACGTAAAATTGTCAGGTTGAAGACCAAACCTTCGTAACTGACAAAAGAGCTTGACTGATTCAACTGGGTTGTGCTCTTGGCAAAATGCCTTGATGATGGAATTCCAAGCAAAAAATTGGAGGAACAATGGGTATGTGTACAAAACCAATTTGGCATAATTTACAGATACGGAGCAGGCGGATAAGATAATTTGGCTAATCAAGTCGTTATCATGATCAAGCGCGGATTTGAGAAGGATAGAATGAAGTTGGAGAAGATGAGAAACGCTTTTCGATTGTTGGATGAGGGTCTTAATTAGGCGGGGAGAGACCATCGCAAAAACCATAACAGAACAATAATACGGACGAGCCAACGACGAGCGAATCAATATAAATCAACATAAATTAATACTAGATTGTTGGTTAAAAGAAAAAAAGAAAAAAGAAATAGATTACGTCACGCACGAGGAACGCGTCATTGTTACTGATGTTTTTTATATATATGTTACTGTTGTTTCACTGTAGAACAAACCAGTATAGAGTCTTATTTTACAAAAGAAAAGAAAGGATTACTAATATAAGTTAATATAAAATTTACATCAAGTCAGGTTACATATAAAATTAGTACAATTTATCTTAAAATAATATTTCATTTGTCCTGATTTACAAGACATTTTTTTGGCAAAATTACCCATAGATAGTGTTTAAGATCATAGTCAATTATATTAAATTGATCACAAATAAAATATTTTATTAAATTGATGAAGGTATTTATTTAACAATTTATTAATTTTAATTAAGCAGATTGATCCAAATTTCTTTACTATTGTTTACAGCATTAATTTTTCTATAAATTTTATAAAAATATCTTTTACCAATAAGAGAGAGAAGGAAGGAAATTTATTCTGGAGTGAAAAACGAGAGATAATGATAAAATAATTACCATTGATAAAACTTTATCTTTTTCGAAGCATTTTATGTATTTTGTAAGATCAAATCGACACGGTTTATAAAATGGGATGGAGGGAGTAATACATGAAATGTATAAAAAATTAAACTAAGATATTTTTTACATACTCATTCAAAATTTATTTTTTTCTTTAATAATCTATATCTATTCGTTCGTATCTATATATTTATATCAGATGTACAAATTTATATCCGGATAACTCCCGTACGAATTATGCTAGTTAGTTGCGTGCTGCATATTTGAAATTATATTATCAGTGGCAAAAAAAAAAAAAAAATACTGAAATCAAATCCCATTATCCATCCTCCAATTCGATCTATGATAACAGAATTGATTGATTTTTTTCCCCTCAAACTCTCATTAACTTCTGATGGAATATGCTGACTACAATTACAATGACACGGACAAAACAAGACAAATTGGAATATTGGCAAATCAAGTTTATTTAGAGGTGCAATCCTGCAAGCTGCAATACACAGGGTTGATCGCAGTAAATTTTTGAAGTGCTATTTTACTATTTTAGGGCCATATCCAACCAAAAGCTCACACACCGTACCTATCAATATCATTGTTGCATACTTGCATCGTGTTATATCAACGAAGCAGTAATGTAAGCAGATAGCAGGTGTCTCGTCTCATATAATCTTAACGGGCTAACCTTATTTTTATCAAGTTAGTCTAGACAAGACCCAATATGTCATAACATCCATTTCAACTTATTAGTCCAGCCCAACACAACACATTTACATTATTTGAGCTCATTGTTTTAAAAATTGGACTTGAACAAATGATTGAACTAGTTAAACTGTTGATTGGAGTTGTTAATGATTCAGTTTGAACTAAAAAAATTATTTTTATGGTTGAGCAAAATTAAACTAAAGTTCAACTGCCATTAAGCTGAAAATTGAAGTTGAACCAAGAATCAAAATGATTTTTAAAAAAAAACCAAATGGGTCTAAACAAAATATAAAAAGAGGATAAATATTTTGAAAAATCAGAAAAAAATAAAAAATTAACTCTTCACATATATAGGGACCATTTTTATAACAGAATGTTGACATTATAATTGCAAATTCCAATTATAATTTATAATATTATTGATTTATTATCATGTTGTGTTATTTCCTTAACAACTGGATATATTGTAAATTTATTTCTGACCCTATATATATTTTATATAAGCAAAATTATTTTTTATTTAATTTATATCATTAATTCGACTATTGATCTAATCAATTTGAAATGTAAAATATTATTTATGGAAGTACACAATCAAAATCCAAAATTACTTTTAAAAAGGATCCTACAGATAGAGCAAAGGGAGTAATATATCTATATAACAAGTCATATTTAATATTATTAAAACCCAATTAAACATAGTAGCTTTCTTAAAGGCTTATATATATATATATATAATGTATGTATATATATATATTTTCATATACATTTGAACTCAAAATTTGGGTTTAAGCAGTTATAACATATTCTACTATGTATAGAATCTGATGGGATTATCTCTCCATAAGCGATCAAGTGACCAGTTGCTTCATCTCATCACCTCAAAACAAGGTGGGGGTAGGGTGGCTGCATCAAATTTTAATTAGAACAAACATTAGTCTTCTTCATGAGACGCCTAAACAAAAATGGATAAGTCTTTGACAGGACCACGGCGAACACCGATCGATGGTCGACCACATATGACTTCTAATCAACCTCTTTCTTCATTCCTCGTACCCACCTCGTGTTTGCACCTAACCTCCCTTACTTAACTTGATAACATTACTTTTACTTTTTTTTATTCTGTTTCTCTTATTTTAAAATAACAAAGTACTTCACTCAATTTCATTATCCCTGACTTCTTGATAATTTACGCCCCACGGATAAGCTTGCCTAATATTCTCCACCTCTGAGACAGAATCCTCTAAAGAGATGCTTATTTTGAAAAGTTCTCTAGCCTCCGTTTGGATGCATGGAAGAAAAGTGAAAGAAAAAAAATGAAGAGAAGAGGAAACTGAAAAAAAAAATGTTATCACTCATTATATTTGATAGACAAAAAAAAGAGAGAGAAAAAAATGAAGAAAATACATAATGACTATAAACCCTTATACCATATATAGATCTAATGTAATTATCTTTGTAAAAATAAATTAAAGAATAAATATATTAAAATAACATCATCAATTAATTTAAATCAAATAGTTGTTAAAAAAATGTAGAAAGCTGAAGATGCAAATTTTTTTCTATTCTTAAAAGCAAATTAATATATTAAAATCAACATATCAAATCAAATTATATTAATTAGTTTTTAAATTAAATTAGTTCTCGAAAGATAAAGACACAAATTTTTATGAAGATCAAAATTTAATGTGTGAAAAATAATGTGATTGAAGTGGGTAAAAAAGAGGGAGGAGGGGAGGTAGGTAGTGAAAATAAAATTTACTCTCAAATCTCTCACCCTTAAAGAAAGTTAGGAAAAAAATGTAGTGGGTCTCACATTTATTTTTTTCTCAAGTTTTTTTAAAAAACATTTCTCTCTTATTTTTCTTCCATATTTTCTTTTCCCTCATATATTTTTCTCCAACTAAATAGAGCAGGTTGATAAAATACTCCTAAATCCTGTCAGTGTGGTATCCAATTCACATGAGAAATCTAATTCCCATATACATACACATGTACAACGTAACGACTTTTGTATGTTTCCGGGATCAGGGGTCTTACAAATTAAAAGATCCGTCTTTCAAAAAATATATATTTTTAAATTATCATTAAAATGACCATTTATAAGATTTAATTCATTAATTTAAATTACGCATTTTTCCTTACAACGAGACCAGATAAACAGTTAAACACCCTCTTTCTTGAGTGAATTTTTTGAACAAAAAAATCTTGTGTGTGCATGTGTGTGAAAGTTGAAATATATAAGCACTGGTATTACTTTTAAGTTTACAAGTAGTGATGGAAAACTCTTGTTTTATGTCGTCCCCCAAGTGATTCTTTATAATTAAAATAGGATAAGCCCGCTTTAATTTGTTGTTCAACCATCCTGATCGCGCCGTCAAAACAAATTGACAGTATACACCAGTCACAAGTGATGGGATTATTGAAGATCTTAAATGATATATATAATTTAATTAAGAAATCATTCATAGCTAAGATCTTAAGTGATCTCCATTTTTGCACCCCGGAAGAAACAGAACGAATTTTATTAAATTTAAAATTGCTTGCTTGCCAGCGTAGTCCTAGTTATCAATTACGGCGCATATATTAGGTCTGACCTTCGTTAAAAATTTGTAATGTTTTTTACGTGCGGTTGTTTATATATGCAATCATTTTCATTTTTTTAATTAAAATAATTTTATGTCCCATAATTTAGTTTTTTTTCATCAGACATTATTTAATTAGGTTCACAAGTGATGTAGGGAGGCGAGTGAACATCAGACACAGGGTTGCAAGCACAGAGTTTTAATTACTTCTTTTAATTTAACATTAGAATAGAGATTGTTTTTATAAAATTCCCATGACGAGCGACTGATATTAAACTTTATTCAGTAAAATCAATTAAAATAAAATAAGTCAAATAGATGCGCAGTAAACATGACTATTTATATTATATTTAGAACAACAGTAATAATTAATATATTAAAAGTGATTTGTATTATACTTTTCAAGATTTGTATAATTAAAACCAATTATTTTATTATCTTAATTTTTTCTTACATAACATTTCTTTACAATATAATCCATAAAAAATAAGAATTAATTTTATAAGTGTTTTTTACAAAACATCATACAATTAGACCAACATTAGCTGTCGAAAAATTCTCTATATTTTGGATCCGAAGAAAAGGATTAACATTCGGAGAGGGGCTGCGTGAAGGTTTTTATATATTCTAGAAAATCATAATCTCATTCTCAATAACCTCATCTCATTCGTCATGAGTCATGTGGTCAGCCGTAAATGGCCCCTCATTTGTTTCCCAAGCTAAGCCACCAAGCTTAATGTAAGTTTGGACTTCAACGCTTGTTTTGACAGAACCCTCTAGAGATTAGACCACTAAACCCTTCTTCTCTCTACATCCCTATTAAAGCCCCCCTCCTCTCTCTCTCTCTGCCCCATCACCACCTTCACCATAAAATTTCCCTCCCTCGAAATAGACCTTCCACCAACTACCTTCATAATATAGCCGAGGAACAATATTTGAATCATGGGCACTTGGTTGGCCATGTCGCTCCTGGTTTTGGCTTCTTGCTCATTGGTCTGTGGCATCTCTTCAACCACATCAAGCTCCATGCTGTTAATTCTAGCTCCTATGTTTCTCCTCCATGGTTTCCCGCCACTAAGTTCAAGTACCTTGAGCTTCTTCTT